TTTTAGTAATTTTTTAAAACTCTTACCCCTATATAGATTGCTTGGGGTTCTAGTATAATATAATGCAGTTTATATATAAAAATTAAAGTTTTGCGAATATGGGTTGCATTATTCTAAAACATTTTTCATACTAAGTTAACTACTTTTAAGCTTCTAATTGAAGTTATAGAGCTCATTAAAACGAATCCAATAGTAGTTAATTCATCAAAATTAGTCTTGTGGATCATAAGATATCTTCAAAAAACGGTTCACTAACTATATAAAATTCTCTTTCAACAATAGTATTGTTAAAAAAGAATTTTACATAGTTGGCGAAATATTTTTGAAGATATCTCATGATCTACAAAGCCTATTTTAATGATTTAATTACTATTAGTTTTGTCTCAACGATAGGGAGTTTGGCATGTCCAAAAAAATTAGCACGCTATGTAGTATGCTATTTGGCATATCCAAAAAAATTGGTATGCTAATGGCATACCTCATGTTATATATATTTTTTGTAGACGATTTAGATCATGTGCACCAATCATAATGTAATATATACACATAATTTTGCAAATATGAGTTATTTCATGGTTAGCGAAGTGACAGGTTATGTCTAGTAATGCCTGATGAAATAACAAAATCTGACAAGACCTATAGTTTCACCAATTCATCAAGTGATAAAACTTATATTTTTTGTCAAGTTTTGTCAGGTTTGTCATTTCGTTAGGCATCACTAGTTATATCTAGTTATTATTACTTTTTTTACATATAACAGTAATATTAACAGCAATAGTCATTTTCTCTATTACAGTTAAATAATGGGTAGATCAATGATTATATAACTATATAGATCAGTCCATACCACTAAGTATTTAGGGATTTTTAATCAACTTTGATTATTTATTGGACTATATTCCTAAGTTGTTCTACACTTAGTGCAAGTCTTGTAATGTAATATCATATAATGATTTACTACAATTCTTGTCCAAAGTTTTAAAATTTTCTTGGATACTCATAATAATATGGACTGACCCATATAATTCAAAAGTTTTATATATTTCTAATGATTATAATGAAATAATTCTCAAAAATAAAATTACTAAAATACTTTATTTAATTTATAATAAGCATATATACTGGTTATAATTTTTTTAAATATCAGATTAAAAAATATCATCAATTGACCAATCTTCAGTACTGATAGCAGCATTTTGAAGATGAGTATCTGAACTTTCAGTACTAATATTTTGACTTCGTTCAAAAGCACCCATATCAAAAAACTCTTCTATCATTAATTCATCCTTTGTGTCAATACTTACCGCTTCAACATCTCTGCAGAAAATGGACAATAATTTGGTGCAAGTTCATTAAGAAATTCGAGAAAATAAGGGGTTTTGATAGGTTTAAAAGACAGATTGCTATAAATAATAGTATTAAACAATTTTTTTGTTAATTTTAGCTTGTTTA